CGAGCAGAGCCAGCTTTCATCTCTGTGCTGGGAGATCCGAGTTACCGCTATTCACCCTCCAGCGTACTGGCACTATGTCAAAATAAATTATTCGACACAGTACGCACACAAAAAATGTATTATAAATAATACGCGCTCGCATAACGAGATTGCATGCGTGCATTGTTAACTTCGTTATTTTTAAGATATTTTATATGTGGTATAATTTGTATTTTTATTTAATCAGGGAGAAAGAAGAAAATCTAAATTTTTATGGTTCAATATTAAGTCATTTTGAAACTAAGTGTTACATTTAGCATTGTGATATAATTATATTTAAAGTAATATGAATTAAAATTACGAAACAGTATATAATCAATTCTGAATTTGTTGTGAGTTTACTAATAATAATGTACAGTCAATTGTTTCAAGAAGTGTAAATCCTATAATTTATAATTTTGTTTGTTGTTTACAAAATCTTTCATTTAATAACTATAGCAGTTGCATTTAATTTATAATAATATATTTTTTTTAATAAACAGAAATAAAATGTTATAAAAGTATAATTATAATGCTGAAAAGGCAAAAATTGCTAAAAGTTTAATTGAAAATAAAAATTAATAATAAAATAAAATTGAATAATTTTACAGCGATATTTGTAAATTTAAACTAATTTGGCTTGAATTTTACCAATTGATTGTAAGTGAGAGTAATTCTTTCCTAAACAGTAGTTGATAATTATTAAATATTATCATTTAATGAGTTATTTCACAATAGATTTTGCCAAAATATTAAGTTTTAATTTCACAAAAAGAATATAAAACAATAATTATGTCTGCACAGGTGTAACTTGGAGCCATATTTTTATTTATTTGATAATTTCTTAGTGGAAATGAAGAGATCAGGCTTTTCCTCGTTGCAGAAAAATTGTTTTTATTCAAAAAACACAAATGGCTCTACCAGTTTCGGCCACGGTCTGCGACCCTATTTCATGAGCAAACGCGCTGCTTGCTGCCTAATGCAAGAATTTTACTGCAACGACGAAAAGCCCGATCTCGTCATTTCCATGATTATCTCCTCGAGTGTCAATTTCTTCAAACGAATGATTTTTTAATGTATGAATAATATATTTGGGCAGTAATTGTCTGAATATACCTTTTGACAAATAAATTTTAATTTGATAAATAGTATGAAGACATGTCATATATAGAATTAGAAGAAATTTCTGTTATATTATCAAACTGCAGACAAAAACGCATTGAATTTTAATCAATCATTTGCCAAGTTGAATTCTTTTCCACGATATGAATTAAGTAATCTCGTATTTAAATCATCCTGATCACGCCTGGCATCCCTCGGAGCAGCACGTGCGCCTGCGATTTGCAACGAAACAGCGCAGCAGGTGCATCGTGAGCACCGGCGCCGCTCTTTATTCTTTATTACCGTCAATTGTGTCTCGATTTAACAATAAGTGGAGCAGCAGCACCAACCTTGAGGCTCACAATTAGTTGAAAGCCGTGGAAAAATCAGGCATTTCCGACCAGCGTCCCAAAGTAGGTTAAGTCAAGTCCGACTTATTTTTCCACTCACGGAATGTAATCGGAGCCGAGGTTGCGAATTTTGCAAATAAGCGCGAGTACCACCAGCGAAGAGGCACGATCGAGCTCAATAAAAATTGCCCGCGCGTGTAATCTGACCGGCAATCACACGCAAAAAGAACAAATACACGCGCGCGGTTTTATTTTGCCCAGTAAAGTGTTAATTTTATTACGAAAAAGCTGTGACTTTTTTATGCTCGCGAGCCGTGGAGGCACGAACATCAAACGTCCTCTGTATTATTTATCGCTATAAATTAAATTAAAACAATAAAAAACGCGCCCGTCGGGCCTAAAGACACATCTACACGCATGAGACGCGTTTATGTCGTTAACCGATATTACGGAGGAGCTTTTTCATTCTCGCGCCACGCGGGATGCGACTGAACCGACCGGTGCTCGGGGCGATTTCGCTGCTTCTCTTTTCATCGATTTACTGCCCGGCTGCCGTGGAGCTTGTTTTTCGACGGAATTAGCCATGAAATGTTGATGCGGAAAACTATATTTAAAATATATCGGCGCGACAAAGTCCTGGGAAAGCATCGATGCCGCGGAGACTTCAACGCACGCAATTATAAACGCAGTCAGATTTTTCTGCTTCGGCGATCGTAAAATTGTTCTCTGCGAATATAAATGCTTCAAATTAGTGGGTTTTTGGAGACATGAGAATCCACATTATCATTAGTGTAAATTATTCTATGATGTGAATCAAAATAAATATAAAAGACACGTTCAAACCCGGGTTTGTGAAGCACGATTTTCACCATTGCATTTGTAAGAACAAGTCTTTCATCACTGCGAGAGCAAATTGTGTGAAAACTTTTTGATGGAAATGAGATTTCCTAGTATCACCTCCTTAATTGTTCAAAAAGAGTCAATTATCTGACCGAATCTGCTAAACTGGATAAAAACAAAACCGGACCAAACTCAAATTATTAATATATTTGAATTTAAGTACAATATAAATTTCAACCAGCAGTACATGACGTTTTAAAGACAAAATAATAAAATTATAATAAACAAGCCTTCTACTACAAAAATAAACAAGCCATTGTAAAAATTATCTTTTTATTATTATTAATATCCTTTCTCATCCTTTCGGTGAAAAATTCCTCAACAGTGTTTGTTCTTTTCATGTTTTGCATCGTGAATAAATATTGTTATTTTGATTTTTTGTGTAGTTATTTTACTGTGTGTTCATGGCTATGCATCAAATGGAGAGAAAATATAAATGATTAATAATTATTAGCGATTGAATTTTGACAAAGATAGAATACAAAAAGATTAATTGATAAATTGCAATTCCCAATAAGACGCATCAACAACGAATATATCATTAAATTTTAAATTTAATGTTTAACCTCAATTTTTATACTAAAAATTTAACAATATTTGATGAATCTTGTTAAATAATAAAAAGTATAATTATTTTTTACAACAAAAAATTTTTATTAATTATAATAAAATATTGTTAAATGAAATAAAGTAAAAATAAAAATTATAAAACTATTATAATTAATTATAATTATATTCTTTTCATTATATTGTTTTCAAAATTTTATTAATATAATTTTAATACAATATATAAATTAACAAACTTTGCAACAAAATCAAATTTTTTGTCAGAAAGGAGTTAGACACACTAACTTTCTGATAGAAATATGCATAAAACAAAATCGTCTTGTAGTTGATGTCCCTAAATTATTAAATTAGTACTGTGACTAATTGCCTTGAAGTGGAATTACGTTCCGAGACGACGAGATAAAACATAAACGGACAGATTGGTGTGGTTTTAAAGAATTTAAAGTTTTCGCCCTCAATTAAAATTATTTATTATCACAACAGGAATTTTCTAACTTTTTTTACACCAGCTTTGTCTCAAATATCTCGTCGTCTTGAAACGTAATTCCACGTCAGGGCGATTTGTCTCAGTGCTAATTTAATTATTTCCCGTTACGAGTGATTTCTTTGGGTTTTAAATTGTCAGTCCCTAAATTAATTGAAAAGATCATTTAAGGGCGATTTTTAAAGTAAATATAGGTAAAAAAAAAAATGAACCTTGAATATTTTTTCAAACAATAAAATTCCTGTAAAATTACAGATATCACGATGAAATGACCAATGTAAGTAAAAAAAAATAGTTTTTGAACCGATTGTTGAATTTTGAATCCCTGCAAAAGTGGATAATATATTTTTACTTTTAAATGAAATTAATAAACATAATGATCCATTCCTGATCCACGCTAGTATCATATCTATTGAAAACTACATTTAGGAATTGAAAGTCAATAAATCCATGCAAAATTATAAATATTAATTAAAAGAAAATATTGAAACCGTCAGAATAGACCAAAAAAAAAAAATCAAAACTCGTAATTGATCTTGTTTCTGGGCAAATGTTTTAATAATGAATGATGGTGCTTAGCAAAGGAACTTCCGTCGTGGCCGAGAAGCACGATGAGGCCTGTGCAGCTTTTATGTAACGCGCAAAGCAAAGAGGATGAAAGAGAGCAGCATGCCGACCTTGTCTCGGTTCTCACGGCTCGTTCGGTGTCGGTTGGTCGGTCGGTCGGTCGCGGGCGCACCGCCGCCGTGCCGAGCGAGCCACAATCGAATTTGCATATTATTCCTGGGATGCACGCACAGTCTTTGCCGCGTTTAGCCTACAGCCGCCGGCTGCACGCCGAGCTAATTAAAAACGGCTGCACTCTCTATAATGACTGCGATTATTCAATTTTGCAGCTTTTTATGGACTCGCGTAGTTTTTTTTCGCCTCAAATGGATTGGTCCGTGTTTTTGGCGGGATGAGCGCGTAATTTGGGCGTTTTTATTGCTCTTTGTGCGCACTAATAGGTCATTATCATTAGGACTGCTTTTTATTTATAGCTTCATTTGAAAGGTACGGAGGACAGGACGTTGCTCATTCTTGAGAGTTGAGCATTGTTTTGTTATTAAATTATGCTCATTTTCCTTAAAAGGAGGCCGTGTGGGTGCTTCTTGATGTGCTAAATAAATCTTTTAATTTATTATCTTAAAAATTTACTGTGCTAAATGATTTCAAAGCAGTCAATGCGTGAGAAAAAGTATACTTTTTGTTGAATAAAGCCAGCTCAACTCATTACATCAGAATAGAAAAATCTAATAATAAGAAAAAAATTGCTTTGAAAATACTTTTCCATTTCCCAGGCAATCAAACTGTTAAAAGCGGTTCGAAAATAATTATTTCCGATGCTTTAATTTATGCAATTAAGTCACTAAACTTCCTCGCGTATTGCTGAAATCAAATTTGGCGAAAGCACTTAAAAATCTGCAAATCGTGACCATTGCTGATGATCTTGTGCACAAAATTGAATTCCCCGAACATAAAATAGTACCGACCTTGAAAATTTTCGCACATCACCAACTTAATTAAATTTGATCACTTACCTTGGCGAGATTGGCAGAGATGTTCGGGGGTGGGTTGGCCGGCAAGGGTGGGGCGCTGGCGGAGACCTGGAGGCCCTGGGGCGCGGGGCTGGGGCTCTCGGAAGCCGCCGGGCTGCAGTCGGAGGAAGTGTCTTCCTCCTCAGGGTACAGGGTACTGCCGAGGCCGCTGTCTTGCTGCCGCGGCGGGTTGTGGGAACTCGCGCACCGGCCGCCGTTCTGTGGAAACCAACAAAAGCTCATTAGTGAATTTAAATCGCAGCCGTTCATTATATGTGCGCGGGAGGAGTCGCGACTCGCAAGGCCAAGTGTGCATTTACGAAATGAAATTTATTATATTTTAAATTCTTGTGGATTTCCTAGGATATATAGGGGGCGTTTCTCTCGCCCGAATTTCCGCCTCGAGCTATATAAATGTCGGTTTGAGTAAATTACTCGAATTTTGTGTATTAGACTAGAATTTGTGGGAAAACTGGTTTGCTTAGCACTTTATTTCTAATAAACATGCAAGTATAGCCGAGTTGTGTTTATTGCATGTATTTCAGGATCGGAATTTTAACACTAATGGAGCCCTGATAGGAAATAAAGGCACGCTACTCAAATTCGGTGCGCGCAATTAGCCGCAGCAGAGTGGCCTCGTTTGTGGCCGGTCACTGACCACTTGACCAGACGGTCGCTCGCTTTGGCATTAGAGACGATTTGCATAAAAGAAATAATATAATAGCAAAGTTTCCTCGTCCATAAATGGATTAATGAGCGGTCTGCAGATCAGCCGCAATAATTAGCCGCGTCCGACTTCAAACGGCGAGTTAATTTGTGAAACGTGCCAACAATCAAAATGCATATAAGCAAAATATGAATGAAACGCGGGCTAGAAATTTGGATTACGTGACAAAAATCAAGTCTACCATGGGTGTATTTTGGGTACAAGAACAACAGAAAAAGGCAACGTGAAATTTTTTTGAAACACTTTGTATACTCTACAATTTAAATTAATATTAATAATACAAAATCTGTCTTTAGACACAATGAAAAAGTATTTATATTTTTTTTAAATTTACAGTTAATTTCTTAATTGCTCTAAATTTAAATTCCATGTGTGTAATATCAACAGGATTAACACAAAATAATTTACATAAAATTGACCGAAGATCAAAAGGATTTTATTGGTTTACATGTGGCCTGGCGCAGATAATTATTGAAATTTTGGAAATACGCACTATAAGAGGAAAATTAAGTAAATTATGTTATTGCAACAATTAAAAAAATTGAAAGTTTCTCATCTCAAAATTAAAAAATTGTACTAATACCAATTTTTTTAATAAATAATAAAATATTTGATAAATTATAATGACACATAATTTATCAAATTAGTTTGCAAGCAATGGAAATAAATTTAAGTTTAAAAATATGTAATATTACTAAATAACTTTACTTCCATCTTTTTTTTATATACATAATATAAAACAAACGGAGTTAAATTAAATAAAATAAAGTTTGAAAATATTAAAAATTTTAATTATTAATTAGGTAAATATTAGTATAAATGTTATTTAACTAAGATTGTCATTTAAACTAGGTTTCTTAAAATTTTAATTTTTTTTAGTAAAATTTAAATTTTTGGTATTAAATTAGTCAATAATAAATTTTATCTGATATCCAAACAGAAACGCACTCTATAGTTTACTTCGAATTGCTAAACTTGATATGCAATTAAAGCAAAAAACGTACAAGCGACACATAATCAGAGGGAACAATAAATCAGAGGGTTTAATAGTCGCCAGCTCTAAAAGGATTTTCCTCTTTGTCAACCGTGACTAAAAGCAGCGCACGATCTGGAAAGAGGCTGTGACGGAAAAATCATAAAGAACAGGATGCTTTTCGGAGGCTGCTTTTAGTCGAGAGCGCGCACCTCTTATTTAGCCGCGATTATTTGTTGCAAAACACACTCCGTTTCTTTTAATTCTTAATTCGCCAATGGAATGTCGGCGGCGCCTAAAAGGTATCAGCACCTTTACGCTGGACGCGGCGGTGGCGGCGGCGCGGCTTTGACCCGCGCATAATCGCACTTTGACCGCCGAAAGTTGCGCAATCATCGCTTTGTCATCAAAACGCATTACTCCTGCTTTTGGTTGTTGTGAATTAACATAAAGCGCGTTTTTATAATATGACGACTTCTTTAATGCCGCGCGCCGAATACCTCCTTCAAGAAAGACGCGGGATTATAAATATTTACCGTAAAAACAGGTAATATAAAATAATTAATCTTGCATGAATTAAAATTTGGAGAAGATCAAAAATACAATTTCTTTTAAATGATGATTTTAATTAGATTTTAACAGCAGATAAATGTGCTCAAATAACAAAGGAAACCAAAATTATAATTATAAAGTGTGCAATGTGGGATGTTTATTATTTGCATGAGCCTTCAAGTCGATGTTAAATTCAAAATATTTAGACGCATTAAATTTTTAAATATCTTCAAAAAATAAAACATTATTTTTTTCATTTTTTAACTGTTTAAAATGTTTTTGTAAAGTAAATAATAAGATACTTCAATAAACACGCTTTGCAACTAGGAACTTCTAGAACACATTTCTAGAGAATCCATTATAAAGTACGTTTTGCAAAAAAAATGATATAGTCAAATCAGTGTTTCGTTTGATTATTGCCGATTGGAGTCAAATCTGGTACTTTCCATGGTTTGAATTGGTCAAAAAAGGGTCAAGAAAGCCCCTTATTTCTCTTCGCCATAATTCTCCCTGAATTTTTATGCCGCGACTATCAAATTTTGAGCAAAATTTGATCAGACCATTTCTTAGCACTAAACATTTGTCAATCTCTTATTTGTTGTAAAATTTGTGATTTCCGCGCCTCCGGTACGTGCACCCATCAGGCGCAATAGTATCTGCCGTGGAGCATTAAAATTTCTCGGTGTGTTTCTTTCTCTCTCACTCGCGCGCGCGCGTTCAAACGTAATAGGCCACCCGCGTATTAAGATGTCGCAATAAAAGGAATGGCCGGTCCGTCGAGAAAGCCGCGGCGAGCCGATCTTTCTGTCTGTGTTTGTGAGTGTCCGTGATGGCAGTGCTCGCAGGTTGGTCGCGTCGTTATTATATGCGCCGGCCGAGTCGCGAAGGTAAAGGACACTTACATGTGCGCCGCGAGAAAAGAAATAAATTATAAAATACGTGCTGGCCGGCAGCTTACGTGTGAACCATGGTAGTTGTGCTCGGGGTCACGGGGTCGGCATACCTGTCACAGCTCTCGGTTCTTGCCCACCAGCCGGCCGGCCGCGATAAATATACGAGATTACGAGAGATGACGGTGCGACCGAGCGATGCCCTGCTTCTTTCTGCACTCGCGGTGTGTGCGGCCAATTTAATTGCGCCGCAACACATTTGTTTCCGTCTCCGAGCTGACGTCACTTTTGCATGGGATTAACTTCTTTTTAAATTATTATCGCACTCGCAGGATTAAGCTCAACCTCTTTTCTAAAAATAAAATAAATGCGACTTCCAGAAAGTCCGTTTAATATTATGATTGACTAAATTATTAATTGTTGCCATAAATAAAAAGAAATGATTTTTTTCCAAATGACATTCAGGCTGTGCGTGTTTTAGTAAATTATTATTACTTTTCAGTTATTTAATTTGCTAACACATAAATCACGGAACAGTTGTAGGGCGCTAATTTTAAGTTCCCGGGGCGCTAACTTTAAGTTCCCGGGGCGCTAATTTTAAGTTCTAGGGCGCTAATATTTATTTAGTTGTAGGGCGCTAATTTTAAGTTCCAGGGCGCTAATTTTAAGTTCCCGGGGCGCTAATTTTCAGTTCTAGGGCGCTAATATTTATTTAGTTGTAGGGCGCTAATTTTAAGTTCCAGGGCGCTAATTTTAAGTTCTCGGGGCGCTAATTTTAAGTTCCCAGGGCGCTAATTTTAAGTTCTAGGGCGCTAATATATATTTAGTTGTAGGGCGCTAATTTTAAGTTCCAGGGCGCTAATTTTAAGTTCCCGGGGCGCTAATTTTAAGTTCTAGGGCGCTAATATTTATTTAGTTGTAGGGCGCTAATTTTAAGTTCCAGGGCGCTAATTTTAAGTTCCCGTGGCGCTAATTTTAAGTTCTAGGGCGCTAATATTTATTTAGTTGTAGGGCGCTAATTTTAAGTTCCAGGTTGCTAATTTTAAGTTCTAGGGCGCTAATATATTTTTAGTTGTAGGGCGCTAATTTTAAGTTCCAGGGCGCTAATTTTAAGTTCTAGGGCGCTAATATTTATTTAGTTGTAGGGCGCTAATTTTAAGTTCCAGGTCGCTAATTTTAAGTTCTAGGGCGCTAATTATTAATTTTAGGGCGCTTTTATGTTTTTAGTTGTAGGGCGCTAATTTGAAGTTCCCGGGGCGCTAATTTTAAGTTCCCAGGGCGCTAATTTGAAGTTCCCGGGGCGCTAATTTTAAGTTCTAGGGCGCTAATATTTATTTAGTTGTAGGGCGCTAATTTTAAGTTCCAGGGCGCTAATTTTAAGTTCCCGGGGCGCTAATTTTCAGTTCTAGGGCGCTAATATTTATTTAGTTGTAGGGCGCTAATTTTAAGTTCCAGGGCGCTAATTTTAAGTTCTCGGGGCGCTAATTTTAAGTTCCCAGGGCGCTAATTTTAAGTTCTAGGGCGCTAATATATATTTAGTTGTAGGGCGCTAATTTTAAGTTCCAGGGCGCTAATTTTAAGTTCCAGGGCGCTAATTTTAAGTTCTAGGGCGCTAATATTTATTTAGTTGTAGGGCGCTAATTTTAAGTTCCAGGGCGCTAATTTTAAGTTCCCGGGGCGCTAATTTTCAGTTCTAGGGCGCTAATATTTATTTAGTTGTAGGGCGCTAATTTTAAGTTCCCGGGGCGCTAATTTTAAGTTCTAGGGCGCTAATTTGAAGTTCCCGGGGCGCTAATTTTATGTTCTAGGGCGCTAATATATATTTAGTTGTAGGGCGCTAATTTTAAGTTCCAGGGCGCTAATTTTAAGTTCCCGGGGCGCTAATATTTATTTAGTTGTAGGGCGCTAATTTTAAGTTCCAGGGCGCTATTTTTAAGTTCCCGGGGCGCTAATTTTAAGTTCTAGGGCGCTAATATTTATTTAGTTGTAGGGCGCTAATTTTAAGTTCCAGGGCGCTAATTTTAAGTTCTAGGGCGCTCATTTTAAGTTCTAGGTCGCTAATATTAATTTAGTTGTA